AATGGATTATCAGGTTTTTATTATAAACATTTTGAGGATGAACTTTTACCACCTTTACAAAACACAATGAATTCTATCTTACAGGGATGAAAGGTGCCAGAGAGTTGGAAAGAGACCAATACAGTACTAATACCTAAAAAGGGACAAGATTTGACTTTAACAAGAAACTATAGGCCAATATCATTATTAAATAATGACTGCAAGTTGTTTACAACAATTCTAGCCGACAGACTGAAGATAATTTTGCAAGAATTTATACAAGAGGATCAGTGAGGGTTTTTACCTAAAAGACAGTTAAAGGACAATGTTAGGAAGGTGTTGGACATTTTGGATTATTTGGAGCAACATAATGAAAAACAAGCCATGTTAGATGCAGAGAAGGCCTTTGAGAATTTGGACTGGGCTTTCTTGTTCAAAGAAAGATATGAACTTTGGAGAGAACTTTATAAAATGGGTGTGATTGATCTATACTTCACAGAAAGCACAAATAATTGTTAATGGAGATCTAACAAAACCCTGTGAGATACAAAAGGGACAAAGTCTGGGATGCCCACTGTCTCCTCTCTTGTTTATTTTGGTTCTTTAAATACTGAATAGAGATATAAGATGAGAGGATTGTGGGAGTAAAGATTAAAAATGAAACTTATAAATTAAGGGCTTTTGCAGATGACTTGGTGTTGTTTCTGGAAGATCCTTTAAAGGGAATTGAAACATTAGTGGGAAAACTAAAAGATTTGGTGCGTTAGCAGGTCTTATGATTAATAAACAGAAGACAAAGATGTTAACAAAAAACATGAAAACAGAAGATGAAACAGAATTTTTATTCTATTTATTTATTTATATATCAAATTTATATCACCGCCCAACTTCCCCACAAGGAGGGACTCTGGACGGTTCACAACAAAACAATTGTGATGAATTGATGAATAAAACAGGTTTTAAGTTCGAGAAGTAGGTCAAATATTTGGGTATCACTATGACAAATATGAATTGTGTCAGGGAAATAAATTTTGATGCTAAAACAGAGTCAAAATTGGCTCACTCACAGGTGTGAGCAATAAAAAGCTTAGGCATAGCTAACCCAAACTGATTGGCTATAAGTAGTATAAAAGAGAGCCTAGCAAGTTTTTGCTCTCTCTTTCTCTGCTATGACTACGTCATAGCTAACCCAAACTGATTGGCTATAAGTAGTATAAAAGAGAGCCTAGCAAGTTTTTGCTCTCTCTTTCTCTGCTATGACTACGTTGCTGTTGAATTGTATCTGCTATTGAGTTCTTTGCCTGATGTAAGTCACTCTACTGTTATTTGTAAATAGACTACACATGAAGAAAAACTACGGACTGTCTGTGTTTGTTTCTCCTAATACTGATCACTAGTTTAGCAAACTGCTTTGCCCTGCTCAACAAATTGTATGTTATTTCAAAATAACTATGTTAAGATATGGAATGAAGTTAAAAAAGACATATTAAAATGGGAGAAACCACAACTGTCATTGCTGGGGAAAATTGCTGTGATAAAAATGAATGTCTTACCTAGAATGATGTTTTTGTCTCAGACAAGACCTGTTTTGACAACTGATGCACCATTTAAACAGTGGCAGAAAGATACATCTAAATTTGTGTGGTAGGAGAAAAAAACATGAGTTAAATATGAGGTGTTACAAGATGCAAAGGAAAAAGGAAAAAGCACTCACTCTTTCATCCAAACCAAACAGCAAGCTGCAAAATCTATCTGGTTTGAAATTGTATTTTGCAGCTTGCTGTTTGGTTTGGATGAAAGAGTGGGTGCTGCTGAGAAATAGAAGGCTCTTGGAGTTAGAAGGACACGACCCGAGATTTGGGTGGCATGGACATTTGTGGTATGATAAAGTCAAAGCTAATGTGAATTTTAAAAATCATTATGTTAGACATTGAGAATATGGAATAGATACAAACCCAGGTTGTGCCTGAAAACACCTTTGTGGATTTCAGCACAAGAAGCATTTTATAGGTGAGAACTAATAGGCAAACATAAATGGCTAACCTATCATGACATACTAGAATTTTATCAAGGGGAATTCAAAATAAAATCAAGAGAAGAACTGGCGGTAGAGGGATATAATTGCCAATCATTTTCTTATTTATAGTTATTAGAAAGATTTAAACTACTGTAGACAAAACAGTTTACCGTTTTGAACATTGTCAGACTGAATTTGAAATAGAATTGTGTACAAATGAACATGTAGTTACTAAAATGTATAAACTTTTATTGAAATTTAAAACAGCAGAACAAGTGAAAGAATGTATGATAAAGTGGGCTAAAATTTTTGGTTATAATATACAGATGGAACAATGGGAAAATATGTAATTGAAAGGATTGAAATCTACACTCTTAAAAGAGAATTTTACACTCTTAAAGAGAATTTTTATAAAATGCTGTACCATTGGTATATGTCACCAGAGAAATTGTCTAGAATGTATAAAGGCACTTCAAATTT